AATCGTTTTTGTAGGATGGAAACTTTTTGAGGTCAAAACCCCCCACCCCCAAAACTAAAGGAAATAAGTTTTTTATCCGTCATCGATCTTTTGATGTCGTCCCTTACACTATGGCTTTTTTTATAAATGTGGTCAATTTAATTTTTGTTCCTGTATGCAAATATTGGAAGTTTACAAGCTCGACTCTCCAAGTGTAGGCCAGACAAAACACGCCAGTGCATGTTCCGGTACCTCAGTATAGCGCAATGGTTTCTATCATGGGTCTGTGAACAGAACGTTTTGCAACACACATGTCTTACTGTAAAATACTTTATTTTAGCTGGAATTAATTTTTGCTGAATAGACTTTTTAGGTGTTTTGTATGGAATTTATTTTCACTGATTTTTGATGAGTTGAATGTAAAAATATAGGAACAACGATATATTCATTGGTTTTTATTAGTCCACAGTCACTCTACTAGGACGGTTAGGAAGCGCCGCGTCGTTCTATTGTAACTACCCTTGTCTCCATAATCATTGAAACAAAAGAGTTGTTAATGAGCTGAGAAGACATTAGCATAAAACCGGCGACGGAAAACACACGATAAATCATGAGACAGTGCGAGAGTTGCGTCATTTTTCCCCACAAAGCATTGCAATACATGGCACTTTACCCTTTCACCGAAGAGCAGTCTCAAACACGAAAATAAACATGCTTTGTATATACACGTTTTTCCCCCAATAAAATCTTGCTGTCTTGTATGGCATTCTGAAATTATTAATAGTTAATAGAATACTACATTAGTATATCACCCAAAAAATTCCCACACAAAACGTAAACTCGCCCCTGTCTCGACTGAATCAAAAAGCAGTGCGAACATGCTGAAACCGTTTTTCTTGAGTAAAGCATCTTCAAGATTGCAAAAGAACGCTCATCTGTAAAATACAATATCATATATTTGATTTAAAAATAAAGCACAATTTCAAAAATTCACAGTCGTCTCGAGCAACATCGAACGCAATGAATAATGAAGAAAAATACGTCATAGTTTTGAGACCAGCAAAGGTTCTCAGAAGCTGCTCGTTCACACCCTTTAACAATAGCGCTTCCTAACCATCCTAGTAGAGTGACTGTGATTAGTCCTTTGTTCGGACGAGGTCCAAAAACGAAGACTATTAAGTTTGGTTTGTTTCGTATGTACTTAAGTATATATGCATGTATGTACGTATGTCCGGAGCTATATCTCTGACACCCATTGACGGATTTCATTCAAACTTTACATGAAGACAATACATAATGTCTTACTTATGCGCATCAAGTTACTTTCTGTTTAAAATTTGTACAAAGATAGTATACCAAGGGATACATTTGTACCAACATTATTTTTGTGATTCAATATGGCTGGCTGATGCCCACTTTTTATGTAAAAGCACTATAAATCGTCATTTTTACATGTCCGAAGCTGTTTCTCAGAGATGACTAGGCCAATTTGGATCAAAGTTGGTATGATGATCATACATATTGGGTTATAGTTGCATGTCATATTTTTTCTGTGATTCAAACTAATATGGCTGACTGGTGGCCATTTTGTTTTTCATGATACCCATGCCTACTTTCCCATGAATGCAATGAACATTTCTGTTTAAATTTTGTACAAAGACAGTATACCAATAGATACATTAACATGAACATGAACATTATTCAATATGACTGCCCAATGTCCAATTCTCGTGTAAAAGCACTAAATCCATTTCCTATTAATGGTTCAATCTAATCTCAATGACTTCATCAGCATCATATTGATATGTCAGATCACAAAATTTTGGACGGGGACTGTGTCATTAATAATGACTTGTTTTCACTGAATCATTCTTTCAATAAAAATAGCGAAAAATAATTCCAAGCAAAAATAAAGTATTCTACATTACCGGTATATATTATTGATTGAGCTCTTGTGGTTAGTTATACCCGTACTCGACCGCGTTAGCGCCCATGCCCGGGCAAGCGCCCTCCCCCCACTTTTGCGCAATTTTTATATTTGGGGTCACATTCGACAAAGCGCCCACCCCTTCAAAATGCAACTAATTTAAAACTTGGTCTTGCGTAACGAATCTTGGTAATCGTTTTTATATGATACAGCGTGGATATCGATCGCTGTGAACATGTTGTGAATGCGTAGATCACGGTAACCGTGCGTAAACTACGCTTCGACAATGACCTGTTAATACAAGTAAAATGCGATAAATATTCAGTTTACCTCTCAAAAATGGCTAGTTACTAGTTTTTTGGAAAAACCATATCGTTTATTCGCTGAAATCAATTCCAACAGATCGTACTTCGACATCGATTATTCACTTCCGCATTGCGTTACCGGAAAGTCTTCGGGAATTTCCGAAGAATTGCATCAGTACAACACAGCATTCTGATTAGTTACAATCGTTTTCACTAAACATTGGACAATCAGATTGTGGTAAA